GAAGATTCTTCCTAATTCAGCATGGCAAACTTCAAATGTAAACTTTTCCTTAGTATGAGCTCTTGAATTTACACCAGTTTTTATATCAATGAAACATAAAGCATTCCTTATATGACAATAAACTTTAATTTTACTGCTTTAAACATTTTTCTTATTAAAATGCAAGTTGCATTAATTCTCTCAGAATTTTACACAATGTCTTTAGGTCAAATCCCTCTCTCTCCTCCAACTCCTAGCAGATCTACCCTTACTTCCCTACCCACCCAATCTCATCTCCTCTTTAAAAACAAAATGAAACAAACAAATTAACTAACAAAAACAATCAGGTCCAAATTGTGTTGCTCAATACTCTTGGGTTTGGGGCCATCCACTGACATGTGGTTGACATACCAGGGGTAATGTCCTTAAAGGAAACTTATGCTATCAGCAGCTTCCAGGAAACTTATTGTACTCATACTTGTTAGTAAACTTTTGAAAATTCACTGATCTGAGTTAATCCACTTCATGCTTTTTTAGACTCTTAGAGATTTTAATGCCATGCATCACAGTGTCTTGAGTAAGTTTTCTTTTCTCATGCCAGTCAGAAGGTAAGTGACCCAAGGCCATAGCAATAGCTTTTCTGTGTCTTGAACATCCTAGCTGTGTCTGTCTTTTAGTTACTATATATTCGTAGGTGGCACATTGTGCAACATTCCAAGAGAACATCTCACTGCCTCCCTCTCTCTTTCTGTTTGCCATTTATCAAGAAGGATGTAACATGTTAGTAGTGAGGAAAAGAAAAGGTTCTCAATAACCTTAGGTTCTTAATTTAATTTCCTGTGTCCAATCTTATTTGCAATAATTTTTTGAAATATTGAAACTGAGTCAGCATAGAAGAAAATATTATCAAGGAAATTATCTTAGAAAATTGAAAAATGAATTTAATATTGTATGAGGCATGTATAATTAAACTTAATTTCTAATAAAGACTTATTCATAGCCTCCACCCTTAATTTCTAATACTTGTGGTACAATTGTGCATATTTTTACTAAATATTATGTCACAGATAGATATGCAAACTCTTTTCTTCATAGACAATTTATCAATTGGTATCTAGTTTCCTTCTCTAGTGCTGTGATAAACATCATTGCCAAAAGCAATTTGTAGAAGCAAGTTCTTATGTTAATTTACAGGTTATGATTGATCACCAAAGGCAACCAGAGCAGGAGCTAAATGCAGGAATGCAGAGGCAAGAAGTGAAGTGAAGGCCATGAAGCAATATTGCTACTTACTGGCTTGCTCCCCCTGGCTTGCTCACCTTGCATTTTCATATGGCTCAGGCCCATTTGCCCAGGGTCAATGGCAGCAGATGAAATCTTGAATGAATGTGTATTATTGACATGTGTACAGATGAATCAAGAATCCCAACAACTGAGATGTAAATAATTGAAAAGTCTTCCTCTGATAAAAGTGTGAATGTTCATGAACAATTGATCTTTAGATAAAACTAGTGTATAGAAAGCATCAACTGTATTTTCCTACTACCAGTGGATGGATGTTTACATCCTGAGACTGTGTCCCAATCGAGACTCCCACAGAGACAGCTGAGCCCTCTCTTTGTGCTTTATATAATACATACTAAGTTCCTGGGTGTGTGTAGTGCGTGTCCTCTATCAGAATGCGCTCAAACCACTCAATCCTAGTTTTTCTATTCATGTTTATGTTGTTTCCTCATTCCTGTGCTAGTCATGTCAACTCCAAACCTTTCAGACAGAATGACAGGGTGGCACCACCCACAGTAGGCTGGACAATACTGTATCAATCAGCAACCAAGGCAACCAAGAAAAAGCTCCCCAGATAGGCCAAAGTCTAGTCCAATGGAGGCAGTGCCTTAATCATGATGTCATCATCTCAGGTATGTCTATGTTTGTCTCAATGAAAAAAAATGGAAGTTGTTAATAACTAATGCTATTTATCATTGATGCAATTATAAAACATATTTTAAGGGTATGATCTACATTCCGACACTTAAAATTTTGCTATAAGCAAATTAACATTAAGAAATAGAGAAATGGCTAAATCCCCAAATCCACATTTTATAATGTAATAACACTATTTTGTCCACATTGTATACAAAAGTGAACAAATAAAACTAAACAAGGAGAGGTGGTTCTTGTGAAGCAAATAAGAATCATTTAATTTTTCACGTTATTTTTAAAGCATGGCAGTAGAACTATTATAGATTTTGGAGAGAAGAAGGCATATTTTTAGTAAAGTTAACTCAAATTCATTCAGAATTCTAGAATAATGATTGCATTCCCATGGTAAAATCTTGTGATCTAATTACTATTTATAGTATTGACTATTATTTGCTTTTACTACTGGCACATGTAGGTGACTATGGTAAAACATATCAGCAAGAGATTTTGATTGGAGGAAAGTAAACATGGGGCACATTGGCATCAACAGGATCTGAGGACCAGCCAGTTGTATAACAGTAATGTTTAATAAAATTCACATTTCCTAATATTCATTTCATTGCTGGTTTTTGTTCAGCACATTACATCATTTATCAGTAATTACAATGGTTTCAATATGTATAATTGCTGAGAAGATGAACCAGAAGTAATGTCATGATTCAAGAATGTCCAATTGATGAGTCCGTTTGAAGAATATAAACTATTCAACCATGCCAGAAATGAAGCAATAACAAAATCAAAGACAAACTATAGCCACATTTCCCTTCATTTACACTGCAAAGTAATGATTCTCATAATGAAGGCATGATATTTCACAAATTTAAAGTTTGAAACCCTGGGCAATGATGTTATTTTTTGTTACAGTATTTTCCTTTCTTAAAGCCCATATGAGTAAGATAATAAGAGACATTTCTCAAATTTCCAGCATTAGACATCAACATACATTGTAATTTATTCAGTTCACCTATACTTGTTCCTTAAAGTAAATATATTTTATTTATTTTAAAATAAATTTTAATGTTGAAGGACTGATGAGAGCTATTTAGCAGATTCTGCTAAACACTTGAGCTGAAACCTTTACTAGCTTTCTCCTGGCTTCTGCTTCCCCAGAACATTTCCTCATCTATTCTCACAGGCTTTCAATAGTACCTTAGCTTAATCTCAACCTTGTAATTCTTTTGCTTCAGGTTTTTGGTATTGGGAATAAAGCTATAAAACTTCACTCCTGGCTATACATTTTTGATAAAGCTTCAAAAATATTTTGCAGGCAATATTAAAAGGTCTTTACATTGAGTAGCGCAAAGTAGAACAAGGAGGAAATCTGATGAGAAGCACAAAGTAGAACAAGGAGGAAATCTGATGAGAAGAAGTATAATCGGAAACTAACAGGATCCTATCTGCTGCTAGAAAAGTAACTGAGTTTGGGATACAAACAAATTAGTTCCAGTATCCACTGTTTCCAGTGCTAAGGAGGTAGAAGCAACTTGTATCTTGAAGTTATGCAGAAGCCAATGTACTACCAATTTGACTTCTGTATTGTGCTCCAGAGTGGTATTTGTGAATTTGGGTTTATTTGGTGTGTTTTATAAAATAGTGTTGGTATATGTGCTCAGCTATGTTCATATCAGCATTGTTTGTAACAACCAGAACCTGGAAACAACCTAGATGCCTTTAGACTGAAGAATGGATAAATAAAATGTGGTACATATACACAATGGAATACTACTCAGCAGAGAAAAACAATGACATCATGAGGTTTGGAGGCAAATGGATGGTTCGAGAAAAAAATAATCCTGAGTGAGGTGACCCAGACTCAGAAAGACAAACATGGTATGTACTCACTCATGGGAGGATACAAGATGTAAAACAAAGATGACTAGACTGTTACTCACAACTCCAGGGAGGCTACCTAGAAAACAGGACCCTAAGAAAGACACAGGGGTTGCCCAATGACAGAGAAATGGATGAGCTCTACATGAACAACCTGGACGTGAGTGGGGGTAATGAAGGGCAAGGTTTAGGGAATGAGAGCTTAGGGGAGCTGGAGATCCCAGCTAGATCAAGAACAGAGAGGGAGAACAAGAAGAAGAGACCATGATAAATGAAGACCACATGAGAATAGGAAGAAGCAAAGTGCTAGAGAGGTCCACAGAAATCGACAAAAATACCTCCACAATAGACTACTGGCAATGGGTGAGAGAAAGCCTGAATTGACCTACTCTGGTGATAGGATGGCCAAACACCCTAATTGTCATGCTTGAAATCTCATCCAATGACTGGGGGAACTGGATGCAGAGATCCACAGCCAGGCCCCAGGTGGAGCTCCAGGAGTCCATTTGGCAAGAAAGAGGAGGGTTTGTATGAGCGAGAATTGTTGAGACCAAGATTGGAAAAAGCACAGGGACAAATAACCAAACGAATGGAAACACATGAACTATGAACCAATAGCTGAGGAGCCCCCAACTGGATCAGGCCCTTTGGATAAGTGAGACAGTTGATTAGCTTGATCTGTTTGGGAGGCATCCAGGCAGTGGGACCGGGACCTGTCCTCAGTACATTAGCTGGCTGTTTGGAACCTGGGGCTTATGCAGGGACACTTAGCTCAGCCTGGGAGGAGGGGACTGGACCTGCCTGAAGTGAATCTACTAGGTTAAACTCAATCCCCAGGGGAGTCTTTGCCCTGGAGGAGATGGGAATGAGGGATGGTCTTGGGGGAAGGTGGGAGAAGGGGATAGCGGGAGGGGGGAGGACAAGGGAATCTGTGGCTGATATGTAAAATTAAATTAAATTATAAAATAAAGTAAAGAAGAAAATGCAAAAAAAATCCAACCAACCAATCACACAAACAAACAAACAATTAAATAAATTAATAAGCAAAGTTAAAAAAAATAGTGGTGGTTTTGCACTTTGCTCTGATTCCATCCTTGAGCCACAATCTTGCAACATATTCCAAAGTGGCTCTAAGAGAAGTCCAGAAATACAGTTGCTAGTTCTGAGGCTATGTTCCTACAGAATCTCTGCCCTTCTTACATCACAATGGTGGCCTTCATGCACTAAGAGTGTGGATATTTCTCCTTAGACTTCAATCACTACTGGAAAAGGTTTGGACTATTGGGGGGACTTATTAATTATTACAAAGTATAGGGACAGAATTCCATATTCCTTTCTTAGAAAATTGACTAAAAATGTGAATTTTCTGTCCCAACAATATGCAACAATCTTCCTACTTGTCCCCAGAGTCATTCCATTGAAATGTAATTCTGTGGATATGTTTTGGTTGAAGTTTTAAATGACTCCTGGAAGTGCCTTGTGCTGCTGCTGATTTCAGAAGTGGAATTGAGAAGAAGGAAGTTAAGTCAATGGGGGAAACCAATGAAGGGTGTATTAGGATGGTGGCTACTTCCTCATTGTCTTTTGCCTTGCCATAGTCAAGAAGTAGTTTTATCTGTCTTCTGATGTCACATCATTGCAGGACAAAATGTTGTTTATTTTTGCTCATTTTTCTTTTGAGGTGCCCTCCACCCAGCTCCCAAATAAATCACATACACAGACTTAGTCTTAATTATAAATGCTGAGCCTTAGCTTGGCTTGTTTTCCTTAACTTTTCTTGCCAGCTTTCCTTAACTTATCCTGTCTATCTTTTGCCCTTGGGGTTTTCTCATTCTCTTCTGTAAATCTTACTCTTACTCTGGGGCTTGCTGTCTAACTGGCCCCTAGAGTCCTCTTCATTCTCTGGCTACTTCTCTCTCCCAGATTTCTCCTTCTATATATTCTCTCTGCCTGCCAGCCCCACCTATCCTGTCTTCTGCTTTGCTGATGGCCATTCAGTTCTTTATTAGACCATCAGGTGTTTTAGACAGGGACAGTTACACAGCTTCACAGGGTTAAACAGATGCAACATAAACAAAAGTAACACATCTTAAAATAATATTCTGTAGATGTAACCAATCGTATTATTAAAATAAGAAACACAGAGTCAAGGTAAAAGAGAAAAGCCGAGAGGTCAGAGCTCAGAGATAAAATCTTACCTCCTGCAGTGCTCCTAGCTTCCCCGAGAGAGGGAGGTACTTCCTGTGTCCCTGTTTAAATAATCTTTCTGTTCTGCCTTCTCATTGGTTGTAAACCCAACCACATGACTGCCTCATCACTGCCTGTAAGTACCGCCCTCCAGGTCTTAAAGGCATATGTCTCCAATACTGGCTGTATCCCTGAACACACAGAAATCTACCTAGCTCTTCTAACCACCACGCTCTTACTATGGCTCTAATAGCTCTGACCCCAGGGCAACTTTATTTATTAACATAAAATTAAAATAACATTTCAGTACAAATAAAATATCACCACAATATTCCCCAACACCCAAAGACCACAGTGATGGAAAGTGAACTAACACAGGAAGGACCAGCCTTTCTTTAGCACTTGTGGAAGGATAGAATTCTAGTTTGCACAATTCACAGGAGCAGAAAGACGTCCAGGCTTATACTCTGACCAGGTCTTTGTAATGCTCACTTTTCTGATGCTACTTGAGCACTGTTCCTTCTCTAGTTTTTCCTTTAAAATTCCTAGGTAATGGTGAATTAATCAGAATGGAAGTCAATTGATTAAAAACCTACCAGTTGATATTGAACAAGATCTGCTTTTATCACTTAAATGTCTGGTTTCTTTGTGTGGTAATCTAATTGTACTGAAATGTGATTTGATTGTATGTTAATAAATAAATTTGCCCAGGGGTCAGAGCTATTAGAGCCATAGCAAGAGTGTGGCGGTGGTGGCACACGCCTTTAATCCCATAGATCTCTGTGTGTTCAGGGATACAGCCAGCATTGGAGACATATGCCTTTAAGACCTAGGGGGCTGTACATTCAGACAGTGACGAGGCAGTCACGAGTTTGGGTTTACAACCAATGAGAAGGCAGAATGACTGGAAAATCGACTTACAGACAGGAAGTAGCTCTCTTTCGGGAAGCTGGGACACCGCAGGTGGAAGGGTGAGATTTTAGCTCTGAGCTCTGACCTCTCGGCTTTCTCTTTTACATTGTTTCTGTGTTTCTTATTTAACAAGACAGTTAGTTACATCAACATCTTTGTCTTAGATAAGGTAAATATATGCATGTGTAAGAAATACTGAGGGTTCCTAGGAAGGCCTGCCAGTAAAGCACAAGAAACAAACTAGCTCTGAGTAAATTTGAAATAAAGTTGTCAAATTTACCAACAGAAAGCATTATTCTCTAAATTTAATAAAGGAGTCACATAGTTATCCCTTTTAGCTGAACAATGTTATATATTTAAAGAGAAGAATTCTGAAAGACTGGAATTCCATGAAAGAATACCTTAAAAATATGTTTGTTCAAGTAACAGAACACACTAATTTAGACACTTGTGAACATGTTGGAGATCACCGTGTATTTTATAGCAAAGAGGATAGCATAGTCTGGAGGTAGGTACCCTAGAGAGACAAGTATATTGGCAATGACAGACACCACAATGAAAGCTGAACACTTTGCCAGAGTTTTCTCCAGTCCTGCCTGGCCCACGGTCAGGACAAATTTCTCTTATCCACCGGTCCCGAAGCTGCTCAGACCCAACTGAGTAAACATACAGAGACTTACATTGCTTACAAACTGTATGGCTGTGACAGGCTTCTTGTTATCTAGTTCTTCTATCTTAAATTAACCCATTTCTATTAATCTACACCTTGGCACGTGGCTTGTGGCTTACTGGTACTTTACATCTTGCTCCTCGTCCTGGTGTCTGGCTTCATCTCCTCTGCTCTGCCTTCCTGTTCCACCAATTCTCCTCTCTGCTAGTCCTGCCTAGACTTTCTGCCTGGCTACTGGCCAATCAGTGCTTTATTTATCAACCAGAGCAATGCATTCAGAGCATAGAGAACATCCCACAGCAGAACACAAACATGTTAACTGGTATCTGGACCCCTGAAATTCCCAACTACACAAACACTGGCAGTCTCATAACTACTTTAGACAGAAAATAGCATGCTAACAAATAATTGTTCTGATAAAAGTAAAATCAAGCAACAAAACAATAAGTTTCAGATTATGAAAAATGTGTAAACTAGACTTCATAACTTTAGTATTACTTTTTCTTCATGTCACATTTAATGTATCCTCACCAAAATGTTTGACTTTTTAAAATATTTTTATTTTATAATTAACTTAATTTCATGTATCAGCCACAGATTCCCCCATCCTCCCTCTTCCCATCCCCCAGCCTTCTCCCCCAATTCACCCCCCCCCATATCCACCTCCTCCAAGGCAAGGTCTCCCGTGGAGAGTTAGTCCAGCCTGGTAGACTCAGCCAACGCAGGTCCAGTCTCCTCCTCCCTACACCAAGCCTGAGCAAAGTGTCCCAGCATAGGCTCCAGGCTCCAAAAAGTCAGCTCATGCACTAAGGACAGGTCCCGGCTCCACTGCCTGGGAGCCTCCCAAACAGTTCAAGCTAATCAGCTGTCTCACTTATCCAAAGGGCCTGGTCCAATTCCATGGGGGCTCCTCAGCCATTGGTTCATAGTTCATGCATTTCTACTAGTTTGGTTATTTGTCCCTGTGCTTTTTCCAATCACGATCTCAGTATCTCTTGCTCATATAATCCCTCCGCACTCTAGCAGATTGGACTCTGGGAGCTCCACCTGGGGCTCAGCAGTGGATTTTACATCTGCTTCCATCAGACACTGGATGAGAGTTCTATCATGACAACTAGGGTGTTTGGCCATCAGATCACCAAAGCAGGTCAGCTCAGGCACTCTCTGGACCATTGCCAGTACATTAGAGGTATCTTTGTGGATTTCTGGGACCTCTTTACCACTCTGCTTCTTCCTATTCCTCTGGGGTCTTCATTCATCGTGGTACCTCCCTCTCTGTTCTCCCACTCTGTTCCTGATCCAGCTGGGACCTCCTGCTCCCCTAAGCTCACTTCCCCCCCCCAAACATTGCCCTCCATTACACCCTCCTGACCCCTGGTTTGTTCATGTAGATCTCATCCATTTCTCTGTCACTGGGCAATCTGTCTCTCTTTCTTAGGGTCCTCTTTACTAGGTAGCCTCCCTGGAGTTGTGAGTTGCTGTCTGGTTACCATTTGCTTTACATCTAGTCTCCACTTATGGAAAAAAGAAAGCATCTTCAACAAATGGTGCTGGAATAACTGTATGTCAACATGTAGAAAACTGCAAATAGATCCATATCTGTCACCGTGCACAAAACTTAAGTCCAAGTGGATCAAAAACCTCAACTTAAATCCAGTTACTCTGAACCTGATAGTAGAGAAAGTAGGAAGTAGTCTTGAATGCATTGGCACCAGAAATCACTTCCTAAATATAATACCAGTAACACAGACACTGAGAGCAACAAATAATAAACAGAACCTCTTGAAACTGAGAAGATTTTGCAGGGCAAAGGACATGGTCAACAAGACCAAACAACATCCTACAGAATTTTGGGGCAGTGCTTATAGTTTGCAGGGTCTGCTGGGGGGTCTTGGAGAAGGCTAACTCCTTATTCTGATCAATAACCAATTGTTTCCTTTTGACTTGTGTGGAAATGAAACAGAGCACGAATCACCAGGAATAGAAAGTTGGATTTTACAGCATGTACATAGCTATAGCACTTTAGCACTTTTTAAATTTCTGAGCTTTTACAGCTGTGTTGCCTACACCTGTTCATCAGTAAATATTTTTAGTGTGTTGTCTTGGCTAAGGCTTTATAAGACATCTCTGTTTTTCATAAATACCACAGCTGTTCATTCATGTTCATCATGTTTTTACAGAGGAAAGAAACAGCAAGTGAGTCCATATGGGTGCATTAACTGTGTCTCTAGGTTTCCTTCTACCTTCAGTAGTGAAGTTTAGTTCCTCTGCATGTCTTACTAGCAACCTGAAATATTTACAGTTAGTGAAGCCTCTGTATAAGCCTGAATATAGGCCTGTATCCATTTGCTTTTGTCTTCTGCTGCCTATGCCTGTGACTTGTAGCAGTCAATGGGTTTCTCCATTCCTTTCACTGTGTTAGGTCTTTTATCAGGTATTTGGATACATTTTTGACCTGTTCTAAATAACAATAATTGCCCACAATTGCCAATACTAAATAAC